GACCTATGTATTTGACCTCACAATCATTGCAAGTAGGGTATTATATAAACTAAATTGTTTTGTTTTAAAGGCTCCACAGGATTGATCCTTTAACTGACAAAGCATGTTTCTAATTGAGTTTGTGGGTTTGAATACCAGCCACTTTTGTTTCTGCCTTGTTAGAAATTCTGCGTAAGGTTTCCAAGGTTACTACTGATGATTTAGATTCCTTATTGTTTGTGTCGTCATTAATATTATTAATATCACTATTATTAGTAATATCAATACTATTGTTATCATTATTATTATCACTATCGCTACTATCATTATTTATTTTATTTTTAAATTTCCTTACATATTTCCTGACTAATTTATCACGGTAATTATTAAGTTTCAAGGCTTCTTTTATGTGTATTACTTCCTGTCTTAGATTTTCCTTGGCACTACTTAGTTTTTGTGCTCTGTCACTTAAACATTTCACCAATCCTATTTTTACTGACTTAGGATGGGATGATCGGAAGTCTAGTCCTGTAAACACTAGTGTTTAACTTCCCATCTTCCTTCCTTTTATGTTGTAATCTAACATTGGAAGTTCCCCTTCCTGACTTTCCAATTCATAAGTGAATTGAATTGCCTTTACCTTCGAGTTGATATGTTCGAAAAATCTATCTATATCTAGTGTTTTAAGTACAGTGAATGTGTCATCTACATACCTCCACCATACTTTTGGGGTGGGGGTGAACGTTTCAATCGCTATGTTTTCCCACCTATCCATGAATATATCTGCTACAACCGGGGATATTAGTGATCCCTTGGCAAATCTCTCAGTTTGTTTGTATATTTTCCCTTGGAATTTCAATATTGTGGAAGTCAGGCACAGCTGCACTCCCAGCATTATGTCCTCAAGTGGCACTTTTTTTCTAAGTTCTAGTTCTTAGTCAGAAATGAGTTCGTTTCTGACTGCCTCTACAGCCATATTTATTGGTATACGTGTATATAAACTGACAATGTCAAAACTAACCATTTTTTCTTCACTATCTAATTTTAAATTATCCAATCTATGTTTTAGTTCATAAGAACTAGTTAGTCTAGATTTCTGGTGGCTTTTTAGGGGAAATATATTAAATAAATTGAATAAAACCCACATTATAAACATTAGGAACGATAGAAATTATCAGCTATGTCACTAGGCATTCATAGATGTGGGAATCCCAAATACGAAATTAATACTGAAACAAGTTTGAAGGGACTGGTGGGCGTAATAGCTATCTACAATTCAAAAAAAGCTTAATTGTAACCTTTTAAGTGTAATTAAGACTCTGAGTGACGGACGGCCTTTGAAATCTCTTGCTACAACAACTGTCAGTGAACAATATATAACTAACACTGTCTTCATTCGGTATCTGTTCATCTTTAGATCATAACTTCGATGAATCTAAGTAGTGAATTAATTAACTAATCGGGCTTTCCAAGTGGAATTATAATTTCTTGATACAGTGAAAGTGGAATTGCATAAAAAAGCATTTGCTTTTTGAATAAACTAGATGTATTTCACAAAAATGTGTAAACGTGCATTTATTTTCTTTCTTGAAAATTATTGTACAGTGTTCCTTTTTTAATTCAAGCTATCAAAAGGTTACACTGTTGAAAATAGAGTACTTGCAATTTGGGAAGAAATTTATCATTGAAATATATATATTTGACTAAATTGCCGTTTTGAACAGTAATACCTCCAAGCCTTTAAAATGAAAATAGATCAGATTATTATCCAAATGAGTAATTGAACTATAAAAAAAAGAAATAAAAGCGAGAGAGGAAAAACAATTAATACGAAAATACGTAAAATTATCTACTGTCATCAAAATCAAATTAGTTTAGTTTTTACTATGCGGTACAGTAAAAATTCGAAACAACCACTTTGGGATGACGTTCTTACTGCTAATAGAGCTAATGAAGATTGATTATTTAGAGTGTGTAAAACAGAAAATAACAGAGAACAACAGGACTTGCAGAATAAAATGTTCACCTTAAAACAAAAATTTTGAGTAGGCTTTAAACACCTTAAGAATAAAATGCTTACTAAAACGGAATGAAAAAAAAACAACTAAATAAATTCACATACTATAATTTATAATCGTATGGAAGAAGATCTATTTCCACTGAGGTTTTCTTATGCGCGTCAGTTTGAGATAATGATGCAATAAGCGGTTACGGTTTTTTCGTCGACATTAGGCCACAGACCTGAAATGTCGAGCCAGGGATATGTCTCCTAGTCGATGTTTTACAGATCCTATAATACACTACTTACTTTATCACACAAAATCGAAGACTTACAAGAGAAAACCGAAAAACTGGTCGAAGAAGCAGCCGGCGAAGACAAGACTCCAGGGGAATATAGACAAGACGGAGGTTATGAAAATAATCAACCAACAACAACAGCAGCAACATACAGCGCCAATCACCATCAACGGGAGGGATTTGAAAGAGGTCACTTCCTTCATTCACTTATCTAGGGAGCATTGTCTCAACTACAGGAAGTCGGAACGGACGAGGATGTCAAATAGAGCGAGAATCGGGAAGGCGAGAACACACACATTCATCAACCAACTGAAACCAATCTGGAAATCTTCGTCACTCAGCCACCATCAACAAAATTCGGATTTTCAATACAAACGTAAAGTCATTTCTTCTATACGGTTCAGAAACTTGGCGAGCGGGTCACAATGAATATTTCCAACAGCCTGTTGCAGACCTTCATCAACAACTATCTTCGCTGGATCTATACTGAAGATCAGATGGCCGGATGGACCGGAAAGAATCACCATCAAGAAACTATGGCTGTGAACAAACAAAACAAGAAGCAATCGCCAACTAACAAATATGCAGAAGAAAGTGGAGATGGATTGGAGGAGGTTGCTGGGTGACATCGTGCTTCAGGCCATTCATTGCTCGAGTGGAACCAAGCCGAAAGGGAAGCGGCGAGTGGGACGTCAGTGCAAGGGTGACATGGAGAAGATCGTGTGAAGAGGAGTTGAAACAGTATGGACTAACATGCAAGGATGCAGGTGAAAAGTACAGAAGAAGAAAGAAGACAGAAGCAAGTGGAGACGTACAGTTGAAGCCCTATGCTTCACTAGGAGCCCAGAGGAAACAATAATAATAATGGAAGAATTATCCGATCTGAAGTTACTGAACCGAAATTCTTTGCAAGTTAAGTAGTTGATTACCTGACGAAATTTCTTTTCTTTAGCACATGATTCGAAAGAAATTGATTAAAACTGCGTGACTTATAAAAAATTAAAGGTACGCTCAATACGTATATATATATATATATATTGAAATGAAATAAAGGAACAAAAATAATTTTAACTCCGCAGTTAAAAATGAAGTGTTTTATAACTAAAAGATAGTAGGTAAGTATTATTATGCAAGAAGTTGAACATCTCATTTTGCCGATGCATAGAGGTGATTAAGTAAGCCTGACATTAACTTTTTACTAAGTAAGCTAATTCTTATGTTATCACCTTGTCGACGATTTTAAATCCACTTTATTTCATTGTCGTATGAAACCTCTTATTCCCGACTGGCATACATATTTGGTAAAATACTGTGATAGATTGTATAAAGGCCTTTTTGTTAACATATGAAACAGTATCTAATGCTATGCATTCAGTCTGGAGACAGTCTGATTTGAGTATTTATGACATTTTTGTTTCAGATTATCTCCTTACACATGATACAAAGTATTTTATTAATTTTACATTGATTCTCTTATTTATTCCTTGTGATTTTTCATCGCATCCATTGACAGAGTTTAAGTGTCTTCTAGGGATTGGATTTTTAGTATTTTGCGCTATGACAACTATTGTCTTATAATATTTTCTAAATTCTGACCAGTATTTTACTCAGTATTACAACCACACTGTGTGTAGTCGTATTGGACTTAAGAATAATTGTGCATACATAATTGGAAGTTGACTTTAAACGATTATATGGTTGGGGGTAGGTGAAATCAGATCGTTCAACCAAGTTCTGATTACGTCTCAATCAACTTCCTGTGGAATTTTATCAGGTATTTAAATTATGCACTAGTGATAAGCAATGTCACTCCACTGAGTCTCTAATACTCACTGCATTTTGCTTAATGCCTAAGTCAGGAGACTCGTCATTACCTTCAGCTATACAAAGTAACTCAGACTGCACCACCAAAGCATCGTAAACTTGACCGGTTGTGTTTGGTCAAGATCAAAATATAAATAATACGACACTTATTACCATGGGTAGTTAGTTACAGTATGAATACTAACTATGCTCCAGTTAAACTTATTTCGGGACTTGTGGATTACAAAGCACTGATTCGACTGCATTTTATTCTCCTCAGTTAGGAAAAAGAGGAAGTAGTGTTCCAGGGATCCAGGAGGTTTAACTTCCTCGGTCGATAAATTCTTCCTGAAATGAGTGGATTTCCCATTCAGTTTATTAGTCACATAAATGTTTCTAACCATCAAAACCAAAACGCCTCATTGCTTCAATTACTTACTTATGTAAGTTAATAATAAAAAATGTGAAGTTTTCATAGTAGGCATTGTCTCATTCATTAGGGCACTATAACAAATGGCTGACATACTTTTCTTTAGTGAACCACATTAATTTAATGCTCACTACACAAAAGCTGTTTAAATGCTATTTCATATTCATAAAATTGAGATTTTAGAGTGTATTTTCAAGCTATACACAATATTTAAGTCAAAATCTGACGGAATAACCAATTGTATTATAACTCATTTTTAAACTACGTCAAAAATTGGTGTTTGTCTGAGTCAATGTTGACGTCCCTCAAATTGAAATAATAATCTTTAAATTTGAACTAGTGAGACAGAAATTCCGTGTTCTTTTACGTCAAGGTACTGTGAATCGTTTCGCACTAACACTTCTTATTCAGCTTTGTGTTTTTGAGTACTTAAAACAAAATTCAATTCAATTTTAAATGCTAATTAGTATATAAAGTTTTAAATAATTCTAAGCTATAAAATGACTTCTAGGCTGTGAAATGAAACACTTGAAAGTGTGGCAAAACTCTATATGGTAAAGAATACCAAATCAAGTGATAGAGACTAAAACTAAATTATTCATTGGAAAAAACTGCTTCGTAGCGTTTCATAGAACTGTAAAACTTTGGTAGACAGTGTGAATAAATAACAGATAAAGAATGTAAGAAACTGAAGGATAAGTACTGTAGTCAACTGTTCAGCTTAAACAGACTTCATGGCTAATATTATGATGAAACTATACAGAATAAGGCCTTTCAGGTATTACCCTCAGGTTGGTCGAGACGTCAAGACCTGAAAAGCTAAGAGAGGTCTTTGTCAGTATGTTGATACAAATAAGAGTCGTGATGTAAGCTTAACCCCAAGAAACTACTTAGTAATAAATGCTTAGTAGTATTTTATTCGTCCGTGTATGCTTATAAAAGCAAATATTCTCTCTAAAACACACTGGTTAACTGCAATTGATATAAGCAGACGTTAAGATTTTTAAAATACTCTGATTTGCCTGTTCTTACTGAAATTAGTTTCCTAGTCATAGATGTGTAGAGTTTCTAGTGGTCTGCCTGAACCGATGAGTTCCCTGGATTTCCATTTATCATAATGAGTCTATTCTAATACCGATTTCTTGTTGTTTTATTTTCAAATCATGTCCCTACATTGTTGTATGAACTCAGACATTTTGAATTGGCTCCAAACCTGTTGTTTTATGTTTCAAAAAGATAATGAAGGGAAAATGTTGCAGAGGACTATGTATAGTTTCAGGTAGAATGACGTTGAGTTATACGATATGCTGCTGACGAGAACTAACTTGAAGATTCTGTACTGATGGTAAGTATATTGCAAGAAACTATTATAAGAATTCTGTGTTGTGTTTAAATATAATTATCAGAATACAGCCGATATTAGACAAAGGAATAAGAAGGCATAATTGTAATGTATTTGCACAACATATTTCGAACAATCTGATCACACACGGACATGTCATAGGGATATATGCATGAAATTAATAAAGAGTTAAGAGGTAAGAAAATAAATTCAGGTCAAGTTAAAAGGACATATTGAAGGTCAAAATGACAATTATGATCACTAAACCAAATAACAGAGGTGATAGTACAGCTGCTATGGTATCGAAACGAAGTTTAGCACAAAATGTTTATTGTTATGAAGAATTGTTGCTTTGAACTCATAAACGTGGTTTAAACTTTATAATTGCCAGGACTTACACAAACTTTAGGATACGCCCCAAACACGTTTTATAGATAGGTTTAAAAGATATGTTAACGTCAATTTTATGTCCTGTCTCTACAATTTGTTTCGCAATAGAGGAGCTAGGTTTCCTGTTCTCACTACTAATGGATTCTGGAGAATCTATTTGCTTTTGAAGCCACCTAGGAATATGCTCTGAACCCAGCCACTACTTACAGAGATCGATGAGTCTTCCCTTTGTCCCTCCCCTTTTGTCCGCACATACATTAAAATTGGCAAATACATTGAGTTGTGACAACATTTTTCGCATGTTCAAAAGGCTGTGATGGATATATCGACTTCACACTCTCAATTATTATGATATCAGCTGCATAAAAAGTCTTTTTAACAGCAACGTTCAATCTGTGTCAAGTTATCAAGCTGCTATTATCACCCATATAAGGTAACTAGATGTACATCTCTTTCTTAAGGGCGAGTTGGAGAGTGGGTCTTGGTTTTCTGACTACTTTATATCTCCTGATGAACTTGTCTGGACAGTTGTTATCAACCAGAGTTTGTGTCAACTTTCATTCTTCCTCATCAAGTATGTCTTCAGTGCATATTCGTTGGATTCTACTGAAGAGGCACCTTACTAAGCCGATATTATTAATACCTGGGTCTATCAGAATTGGGAATTACACTGTCTGTGTAGTCCTTTAGCACAGCTTTTATTACTGAAAAAGTGCATATAAAATACCTCAAAGAATGTTATACAATTCAAAAAATATAATCTAAGTATTTACAATTCTGTTCTTCATTCATTTTAAAATTACCCAGTGAAAAAACGAATTATTCTTACCTTTCAAAATCATGTCCAATTATACATTGCCAATTTCGTCCATAAATATGATCAAATTTTTGTTTTAAATAATCAGCTATATCTTTATATTTTGAATATGTTGAATGTGCTTCAGTGTACCAGTTTATTGCATTGTTCTCCATATCTTTTGGCATATAAACCATTATCACTTTCAGTTGATCGTCCAGCATTCTGTTCTTCTAAATGTTTAAGTATGTTGTTCACGATATTTATATATATATATATATATGTGTATTTGTGCGAACTCTGGTAGTTTTAAATTTTCTTAGTATTTTTTAAAGGGAATATTTGTTTTAAATTATATCAGAATTCTCATGGATGTATTAAGTATTCCTTATTCTTATTATCTGATGCTGTAACCATGTGAACTAGGTGAATGAGTGCGCTTTTCCCTTCGTGAAATAGTACATTTTTACTAAAACAAAAATATGGAACCTAAGAAGCTTCTCTTAAAGTTGGTAGGCATCTAATAATACGTTTTTAAAGTACACTAAAAAATTTTCCGTATACTTTTATAGTGTAAAACTTCACACTACCTGGAGTATAATTATTTCTCAAAAATGAAAATTTTCTATCATTTACTTTCATTATATTGAACAAAGCTATCTGTAAACCAACTCAACATATTTCAGTGAGTTATATCTACAGTTTCTGCTTACTTTCGTTCCTCGAAATTCAGTTTATTTTTCACTTTCAGTAGCTGATATAGGAGTAATGACTAAGCAAAAGAAAGTGGTGACATATGAGTATACAAGCCATTGGCAATATTAGTTATGAACGCAAACTTTTGATCACTATCACAATCCCTTATTTTGCACCTCACTACACAGACCCCTACATCATTAAGACTTCTGAAATATTTGCAATTATTAATGTTCTCTGAGCTGGTTGGTTTAGTTACAAAGCTTTCGTCGTCCACCTTCTGGACAACATCCCCTTTCAGCGCAGTTTTTAGCATAAAGTGAAATGATTTAAATTTCTTCATGAGTGATATAATTGCGTCTCCAGTAACCATCTTTAGATATTTATTGACCGTTTTCTATTGATTGGGATTTTAAACTTTCTGATCACCTGATTTACTTCTTATTAGTTGGTATATTTCATCTATATTAACGTGTTTATTAATTGCGTTTTCATTTGAGTACCAGGCTTCTAGGAATTCTCTGGCACATTTGGTGTTTCCTCTGTTTAATATTTTGACATTATCCCAATCAAATTGATGTCCATAATCGTCTGTATTCATTGATACTAAAGAATTTATATCATGTCTTTTCACGGCTGATTTGTGTTCCTGGACATGATATAAATTCTTTAGTATCAATACATTCAGACGATCATGGACATCAATTTGATTGGGATAATGTCAAAATATTAAACAGAGGAAACACCAAATGTGCCAGAGAATTCCTAGAAGCCTGGTACTCAAATGAAAACGCAATTAATAAACACGTTAATATAGATGAAATATACCAACTAATAAGAAGTAAATCAGGTGATCAGAAAGTTTAAAATCCCAATCAATAGAAAACGGTCAATAAATATCTAAAGATGGTTACCGGGAGACTCATGAAGAAATTTAAATCATTTCACTTTATCCTAAATACTGCGCTGAAGATGTCGTCCAGAAAGACGATGAAAGCTCCGCAATTAAACCAAGGAGCTCAGAGAACACTATCAATTGCAAAAAAGGTTCTTACTTTCAGACCACTTATTTGAATTTGGGTTAATATTAGTAGTAGTTAACACCTGTTAAACACTGATGACTAGTTTCCATTTAGTACCTTGGGGAAATTACAAACCCATGATCGATCATTGAATGAAAATATCAGTCTCCAGTAAACAAATAATACTAACCTTCCAGCTAACATTCTAATAGCTTTAAACTGTCATCATTGGACGACGAAAACTGTAGATCATTATAATAAATCCCTTTACATTCATCAAAGACAAAACTTTTTATCGTATTCATGTTCGTCGGATCTAAGAAATACATATGTCAGTAATTTATGTAATTGGTTCCCTTCATTAGTTTCAGTAAGCCAATAACGAACATTATATCCAGGATAACATTAGCACATTTTATTTTGTGGATTCTCTTCAAGTGCATACATTCTAAAGAAAGTAAAATTATAAGTTACAAAACTTCTGAACATATTTTTTTCACCGTGACTTTGAGTTTTACGTAGAAAACATAAGCAACATAATTCCAAAAATGATATAAGTTGACGAATTATTCAGTGCTAAAAGAATAAATATTAGACATATTTATTAGACAAAGGAAAGCGGTAAAGTTCAGATTTCACTCGGAAACAAGAATTGACTAGAGATATGATGATATTAGACGGTTGGAGACAATCGGACGGAAGCCATGGACCTAGGTTTCGTGCTAGTTAACACTCACCAGTCAGCAAGACGTATCTGCAACCTAGACTAGACATGTCACACTAGTTTCTAGTGTCCAATCAAAATATCTACCACACTCCTACAGGATGTCCATCGTGAGCCCGAATAGCTCAGTGGTCACGTCTCTGACTGCAGATCTGGGTGACGTGGGTTCAAATCTCAGAAGGAACATGAGTTACTTCAATGTTGCAGTTACGCCTTGCTGACTGGTGAGTGCCAACTAGCACCAAAGCTACGTGAGGCAAGGCTTCCTGCCGATTGCCTCCAACTATCTAATATCATCGAATCAATGTGCACCGTGATGGCGAGCTACTTAGAATGGTGGCCAAATTGCAAAACCTGACTGATAGAATTCAGTCAGCACCAAAGAAAGGACTAGACACATCACACTAGTTACTAGTGTCAAATCAAAATATTGACTAGAGATAAAATATGAGTTCGAACAGCGTAGTGAATTTTCACATATTATGATGGAGGGTTCAAAAGGCTGAAAATGAACAGCAAACTAAAATTATGAAACAGACAGACCCACAAAGTATCTTTGCAGAATTAATAGTGAGTCCCATTGAGTAAGTGTAAATCAAAACCAAATGGGATGTTGCACAGCAGAAGAAAATACTAAAGTACACGAACAAAACATTTATGGTCACCAGGGTGGTAAGTAATCAGTCACTGTATCTTTCTGTACACAGGGGTTGGGTTGAACGAAGTCTTTTGAAGTCTCTGGCAATTCAAATTAACTTATTTTCTTAAACTACTATCGCTGATAAGCTTTTCACCCTTGAAAATGTTGTTTTATTAGTAAAGAGACAGTAAGGCAAAAGAACGCACTGAATCTTTTCAAATACACTTTTTCGTAAAAATATGTATGTGTGTACTAAACACTACACAGAAAGTATGTTAAAGAGGAATTTAGCTTTGAGGGTGACGAAATTGTCTGAACAATCTCGCTATCAGTATTATTATTTATCTTGAAATTAGAATGAGAATCCCTCCGACTTTTTCAATTTCTTTCGCATTCCCAGTGAAAATTTGGTCTTCAGGTTAGAGCTTTAAAGTTTCTTAAGCGGTGGTGTTTATTTTTACGAGGTGGGGTAGTTAGTCTCTTGTTGAATCTTCCCTCTTTACCAGTCTTATTACTGGCTTAGCAAGGTTCGGGAGTGCGTCGGACGTGAATGGAACCCCAAACCACCTGCCTGGTCGGCTAGCACTCTATCTCTGCGCTACCAACGCACGCTCTAAAACGTTGGTAAGTTTATCCTATAATCTTGCTTGGATTTAAACATGACACTGAGCGTCGGTGGCATAGCGGTTAGGACGCTCATAGACCATGCATATGGTCCCCGGTCGACGCACTCCTTTACCTCGCTAAGCAAGAAATAATGCTAGTAAAGAGGAAAGGTTGGGCATGAGGCTAGCAACCCCATCCTGTTAAAATAAACACTACTACAGAGACTTCAAGTCACTAGTGTGAGGCGCTATGTTACACTGGGAATGTGTAGGAAAAAAACCATAACACTGAAACACTTCTGAAGAAACAGATCAAGATGAATAGAAATAACGCCTGGTGACACTAAATTGTGCATATCACATAACTGACATTTTCTGACTGCAATCTTTGTCATATTTATATTAAACTCATAGATCATTAATTCATGTGTTTTTTTGAATAGAATTTAAATTCACATGACTACTCAACCAATGAAAAGCAACTATTCTAGGTAGAAACATTTAAAAGTGTCTTTACACAAGAGTTAACTTTGGTTCTAAGAAAAAATAATAAATAGTTTCATTTTCTAAAGTACTTCACTCCTAGTCAGACAAATTAGTCTGCAACAAAAACATCCCAGTTTCTCCTGTCATTGGCCCAAGAAACAAACTGTCATTATCTGTATTCTCCTGAAATAATAAAAATAATAAATAACACACAATCTACACCTGATAGTTTTCATTTCTACTAGCCAGGGAAACAATTGGAAATTTTTAAAATGAATAAATCAGTCATCAAAAATGCTGATATGTCCAGTCAAATGCAAAGACATGCTGTAGCAATTGGCACTGATTCGGTACGAAAATTTGAATTAGAAAAGGATATAGCCGACCATTTGAAAAAAGAATTTGACACGAAGTATGGACCAACATGGCATTGCATAGTTGGCAAAAACTTTGGAAGGTAAGTTATGTTATTAGGCTTGAAATTTTAATTGCTTGACTGAGCTATGCATTTGTAATATAATTTCAAATATTTAATTCCTAATGTTATTTTAAGACATAGTATTCTTAAATTGCGTGAGACTATTAACTGGTCACATCTAAATCCCAAGTAGTCAAACCCTTGTTGTTAGGGAGATGCATTTCGATGGTCCTCTCAGACCAACTAGGAGGAAATGAAATCCTGCTTATTTTAGTTACGAAACGCTTTTTATCTTATCAATGATGTTCTGTTTTATTTTAACTCATCTGGAAGGTCCTACTTTCCAGATATTTTATAAGGAATTTACAGCCGTCTCAAAAGCCAAAGTCATTTTCAGTGATTTCTATAACTTTCATATACTCATCAGGAATGTTTATTTACATTAGCAAGAAAAGGCGGCCTACCTAAATCACTGGGCTATCGGAGTTGGTTTTCACCAAAATGCTTAATTTCATCTGGATTCATAGTCGTTTTAATCGTTCAGTTATATCAAATGACCTATACATGAACTTTTGCGCCGATTTTACTTGCTGCCAAGTAAACTCTCTGCAATTCTTCAATGGAATGAAGGTGTACTTGAGATTATTACTTTACACGTAAATCCTGTATGAAGAAAAAAAGTATTCTGTAACTAAATACACTGAAAGGTTTTGAACCATATGTTCGCATATTGCCTGAATTAAGGCTTGATTATTATATAAGTGGAAAAAAACCTGGGTATTCACCACCTGCATCACTTTCTGGTAATTTGTAAGAATTGAAGAAATCTCTTCTTTTTCAAAGTCATGAATACACGGCCCCGGTAATGAAATGATACGGCATTTATTCATTTCAATAACATATAATCACTGTGAAACATCATAATGTGTAGTGTGAGACATAATTTTAACTGTCGTTTAAGATAACAGTTAATAAGGAAACTATTAGTAAGCAGTCTGTAGAATATTTATTCTATGTTGCTTTATCTTAATGCTGAAAATCCTCGACTTACAATTTGGTATAGATTTTTGATATCACAGTTTTTATTACGTCAGCTTTATGAGTATTAAGTTGATGATGTGGAATGCTTCATGAATTTATCATGTCCTTACTTTAATTTGCTGCTGAAACAACTATTTCAACCGCTATTTAACACTACTTACTCAATTTAGTGCCATACCATCCGTTTATAGTGTCAAGATCTCCAAAGTATGATAAATTATCCAGATGATGACTCCTTTAATTCTTATTGTTATCAGGCTGATTCACTTCCACATTGAAAATGTTTCTTAAGATCAAGAAATTCCACATAGACTTTTGAAATAGACAAGCTTTTTCGAGTCGCACTATTTGACTAGTAAGTAAACTGATGAAACACATAAGTAAGGAACAGTTTACGTTGCATACAGTTTTAAATGAGTGCCAACTGAAACGCTGAAAACATAAATAATATTGAAAATTGATTTGAAAATTGTTCACTAAGCAAACTGAAGTAACAGTTGACAATTCATCGAAAACCCACCTAAACTTGGATATGAGGCTTTGAGAAGCACGTTTACTCCTTACAAAGACATTATCATTACAAACGACAATCAGCTAGGAACTTATTTTAAATTAGAACCTACTGAACAACAGGTTCTCAAAATATCTGCAGCAGAAACTTAAGTCACTGTTTCTAGTCCACATTCTAATTAGTGACTGTTTGCCAAACTTTTATATTTTCAGACGTCACGCTTGGTTTAAAGTTTAAAAATGCTATGAACCTATTGAAATTTATGTATTTCATATAGAAGTGTATGAAAATGTCACGTAATTTAAGTTTCGGAGGTGGTGTTACGTTCCACCTTTTACATAATATATATATATATATATATATAAAACCCAGTTCTATAGATTTCATCAGTGAAAAACACAGCTCATTGACAGACAGTACATATTAGAGCTTTAAAAACAGAAAGTTTCGTAAAAATATTCCTATGAGTACTATCATACATCAGAATATGTGTATGAGCTTCCTACTACTTTTTTTTTAACATTATAAACACGATTCAGAGATTACGTTCCTATTGGTTACATGTCGATAGAGCTACTGTGCATGTGATCGGCCACCCCTACTGTTTATTCACAAGCACTATCATAAAAATGCACAACTCAAAGTGACCTTATCAGGTCGCCATATTCTCCTAAATGTCAAGCTGATTTTGTACGATAATTATAACAACGCCTGATAAAAAATATCGTTATTGACTACTGTTCTAGAATATTCTATGTATATAAACATATATATATATATAATTGTAGAGCCGGAAGATGAAATTATTGAAAAGGTTATCCTTTGTTTATTTTTTTAATAGATGTCTGAATGAATGTTTTCGCTATATTCAAAAAAGTATCAGTCCTTGTCAGATATTTAAAAATATCGATCAGAAAGATCATGCAGATATACTGACTTTTATTCAAAGACTCATTATCATAGATGAACCAGGCATATTATAGCTAGCAGTGTAAGCTGCAAAATCATTCTGAAATTGTTCACTTTTTCTTCAAGGTGACCACATTCATCTTCTTGCTTTACATTGCATCAATTTGACTTGATCTAATCTTAATTAGTTGTGTAAAAATTTGTTACATGTACGTGAATTGCCCCCCTTTTGGACTTTAAATTCAAGTCGATACATCTAGACACCTCTAGAGTTTATCAACAAAGTGACTTACTATGTCAGTAAGACGATTTACTCTGTGAAAAATGTATGGATGTTAACTAACTGCAACATAGTGAATGTGAATGTAGAGAAGAAAATTTTCTTTATCGATGAAATCATCTTCAGAGGCTCTACAGTCGTATTTATATTTACCAAAAAAATGTTTGGTAGTCCATTGTTGAGTAATACGGGGTGGCTTCGAAAATAAAAAATAAAAGTTGTAAATTACGTAATACTTAAGGTCACAAAGGAAGAAAGGGTTAGAAATTTGATAATGTTAAAATTGTTATTGTGTGAGAAGAAAAGTAGTTCAGTCTTCATTTAACAATTGCGAAGAGGGTGAGAAAACCTACAAAAGGAACATGTGAGAATGACAATAGTGAATTAATTACTTAAGTAAAGGCAAACTATAAGTAAAATTGAAAAATAAAAACTAAAAAACTTAATAATAATAATAATTTACTTTATTCCAAAAACAGTACTTGTGATACAGAATGGAATTTTCAACATTAATCACAATATTGCATCTATTTTCCTCAAATTATAAATAGAATTAATCACACAGAAAATTTTCCACATTTACAATAGGGGTAATGTCAAAAACATGCAGTATATTAATTAGAAATAATGATAATAATAATGATAACAGCCAAAGTAATAATAATAATACAAGTGAAAATTGCCGTGGGCTTGTTTCACACAGTATTGTCGATGTGGTATAGAAATCCTAGCATGTTTAAAAATATTGAATATAATGTTCTCTCTACATGATATAGTGAGGGGAAAAACAAAGATTACAGCAGTCATAAAGATAAGTTTGTGCTTGGAATTATGAGAGTAAATATAAGGAAGCAACAGGACCATAAATATAATAGAAATAATAAAAGTAAAACTTGAAGGTATGTAAGGATGGATGGAGGAAAGTGTTTATTCACTAGATGAAAGGAGGTTAGTTAATTCTTGCCTGACACTATTTTCATCACATAAAATACGTGCCAAGTATGGTATCATAGAATTTTTATACTTGGACGTGCGAGCACAGTTTTCTGAAGTTACTTTTTGTTCTACCTGAGGAGATGCAAGGTGAAAGCTGAGGGTAAAGTAGATGCTCCAAGTCAGACAAAATCCCTCTAGCAAATTTATTGCACGAAGTCAAGTGCCTATCGACAACGACGTTAACTATTTGGTCCACTGAGACACCACTCACCCTACTGACCGTCTTCAGCATTCTACAAATTGTGACATAGTCCTTTTTAAGCAAACCAGGAAAGAATAAGGGTGAACAATAAAGAAGAATAGGTAGAATACAAGAGTTTATGAACTGTAAGAGGAGGGGTTGAGTTATACCTGAGTGCCTTAACTTCTTAATGTAAAGTGTCAGGCGGAATATTTTACAGGAGATCGCTAAGACATGAGAAGACCATGAGAGATCAGAAGAGAGAATAAGTCCAAAATACTTAATTTTTGATTTAATTCCTATATCATTGTCGTCAATCTTACAACTGTCATGAGAATCGGCAACTTCTTTTAACTGTCTTTTACATTTTAAGCTGAAATTCACAGTTTGATATTTAGAAAGATTCGGTTTAAGACCGTTAGACTCAGACCATTTACGGGGAACGACAAGTGAATAGGTTAACACCATGGTAGAATAAGAGACTGGACAAACTTCTGTATGCACAGTTCGTGGTTTTATTGACGAATTACCAACGCCTCAAATTTCTAATGCTTTCTTCTTTTGTCACCTTGATTGTTACGTAATTTATAACTTCTATTTTTAATTTCGAAGCCACTTCTAATATGACTTCTGAAAACGACTGTAGAGCCTCTGAAGATGATTTCGTCGCCACAAAAAAATCTCTCTGATGAATTGTCTTTCATTTTCTACATGACCCAATTGGTATTTTCGGTGATTTTGGTCTGAATTGATTAACGGAATTTCGGTTACATTTTGATACTTAAATACTGAAACAAACGTAAATCCTATAACGGCACACGGTAAAACGATAGGTACTCAAGTAAGAATATATACAAATTGCAAAACGTACTGAGCAGTACGTTAAATGTCACAAAATTCTTCTACTCATAAAATCAGCTTCAAATGAGAGGGCTGTCAACTATTGGTATACGTAAATCAATATCATGATAGACATAAATGTGTATCACATGCACCTGAAACTGACTCCAAACAACTCTCTACACCATACAGCCGTATTTAAGGTTATTTAAAACTTTAAAAACCCAATAAAAAGTGCCTGATTGATTTATGAGTGATGCTGACAAATAAAGTTTGCATGCATACTTTACTGATGAGCCATAAGTGAAAGAACTTCTATCAACTAATTTTTAGTGAACATACCTGAGTTTTGGTATAACTTTTTGACCTTATTAGGGCGTATTCTTTTGATCACACACTTAAAATCCAAGCGTATTTTTAATGATATTTGTTTTACTGAGGCTTTACATTCATGTGTTAAATAGCTACGCTTATTTCAATAAAGAATATCAACAGAGCTATGGCGAATGGATGCCATTTTTAACATCGACTTCACCAAAACTCACCAATTTTGTAACTGTGATTTACCTGTCTCAAATCTACATTTATCTTTGTTACAGAGTATCCACAAAGAGAGTATTGTTTGAAAATATAGTATTGGGATTATCAGTGATCAGCGAAACACCGTAAGCAGATTAAGATAACATCGATTAGGTTCAGTGAAAAATAAACTGTCTCGATGAGAAAAATCCGCTAAGTAGGTAGAGTGGTTGAACATAAAGTGAGTGATCAATTATAGGAACATCGAGAGACTTCATACCTCATGATTTCACATTTCACTTATAAAATCTTTCCAAGTCATTTAATAATAATAATAATAATTTGCTTTATTCCAAAACAGTACTTGTGATACAGAATGGAATTCTCAGCATTTCACTACAGGATTGCATCCAGTTAGTACATTAACAATAAATAAAATTCTACGTAGATTAAGGTAATCTCAATACATAATGACAACAACATATTGGTATGTCAGTAGCAAAAATTAAACAGTGTTTAAAGGTGTTAGAAAAGTAGATGCTAGCATATTTATTGGCATAAGCAGAAGAAAGAAACAAAGCAGGACATAACAGAGAAAAAAGGGAGAGAACATGAAAAGAAAGAAAGAAAACGTTGTACCTATAAAAGATATGGATTGGAAAAATGAGATCCAGTTGTTCTACTGACTATTTGATAAGTTATAGGTATCACGCCTAACGCTTTCTTTATCGCACAAAACACGAGCTAAGTAGGGTATGGTTGAGTTTTTGTACTTACTGGGTTGAGTTTTGCACTTACTTACTCACTTAACAATCATGTGCAGAAAGGCTTCTTTTTTATTTCTCAGACAAACTACGAAAAGTGACATGTAAATTCTGTAACTACAGCTAAGCATAACCAATAAACTTATAAGCGGTAATCTAGATTCAGGGGAATCTCTTTATTCATTAAATAATACACAGAATCTCTGTGGAATTAATTTTCAGAAAAAAGAAACTGAGAACAAGTATGATCTTGAAAAAAATCTAACTTCATATTTGGAAGTGTTTACTATATATATGAAGTAAGTGGGAAAGTAGGCCGTAAAAACCATAGAATTCAAAGTTCCAGAGTAATATTTAATCTCACTATGAAGAATAAACAGTGTATGAAATACCCTCCAGTAAATAGTACTATTTCCCTGTACGAACTGTAATAACAAGCAAACTAATATTAAACCAAATCCTACTACACAGTCAAGGATTTACACATACATTATTATTTTCCTTAGTCGTTCCCTACATTTCTATTGCATTTTACGCATTATTCTAAACTGCTGTTTTATAACCACTTTCAGTGTACGAAATCCAGCGAGAACTATATAAGACATATCCATTTTCTTTTACTGTGAGAATGTTTTCCTTATGAACGATTACAGTACTAAGTACTGGAAAAATAATAAAAACATGATTTTGAAAGTAGGTTACACGATTATTTGGATGATGAAGATGATGTCTAACATTGGAACCCAGAATGAGCGTTTCGTCCTATTTGCGACCCATCAATCAGATTTACCTTCAGCACCAGCGAACGATGACGTTATCACTGCGATTGAAACCAAACAGATATCGTTTCAAAATGTCAAAGCGTTATCTACTAGATTAATGAACTGCGTAAATCACCTCTTGTGCAACAGCTATCGATTATTATTTGACTAAGTTAGTTTCGAGTCTCACTGGAAACACATTCACTCACTGGAGATGCTGGTCAATTCTAATGAAGAGTCCTACATAAGACAGAATGCGCACAACGGATTCCAAGACTGATTACCATAGTGTTGATTTTCAAACGTAGTCGAAGCGTTAGTACTAAGAGTTGGCATGCCAACAGAGACCAAGAAATACAACCTACTTAAACAAAATTTAACAGCTGGTTATGTGGAAACGTCTACTGCTTCACAGCATCTTCTAGTAGACAGCGAGAAATATCAAAGTCGATTATAGCCACAAGATTACTTTCAGTTTTTTTTCTGCATTTTATCCTGTTTGTTGATTTCATTATCTATTTTCATGAGTCGAGTTTTAAGTGCTAAAATTGAATAACCCACGTTAATGTATACCCATAAAATATAAGCTTTTCAATTTTCAACATTTTGGCGGTGAATGCAACAGCAGTAGAACATAAAATACTTTTATATTTGACCATTTAGTAGCTTTTATGCACAATTATGATATTTAACTTTGTTAAATTTTCGTTTTTTTTATAATTTCAGTTCTGTAACACATGAACCAGATAGTTTCATTTACTTCTTTGTTGAGAAGTATGCTGTATTACTTTACAAATCAGGATAAAGAAAAGTCAACTTTCACACTGTCAAAAAGGATAAAACGACGGTGTGCTAATTTCTGATAATTACACGGATGGGATGCATGTTATTACACACATATATAAATTCCGCCTTTTAAATAATGTCATAATTTTATTTCATAAAACTAAAGCCAACTTGACCGTTTTGAAGTTTTGCTTTTATTCGTACCGATGTTATTTGTATTAAAAATAAACTTGTGAATAAATTTGCTGTATTTTGTGTGTACTTCAGCATTATCTTTTGAATTTATCAAAGTTCGTTTCATATGGTAATATTTAATAATATTTTAGCTTGTTTTATTAACCTAAGCGATGAATAAACGCATCTAATTCAAGTATAAGTTACACATTTGAAAGACGAAAATATTGTGTACACTAAAGCTGATAATATTGATTCGCATGTATCCATGGTTTGAAAGTAGAATACTCACTAAGCATGTAGAAGGTTCGGTTTCAGTTCACAGACGATGTTCTGTTTCTTAACCTGCAGTAAGCCCGGGAAAAACGAAAAGCTGGGCGCGAGGCTGGAAACCCTACTTTGTACAAACAACACGACTCCTTATCAAACCTTGAACGCCTGAAGCCCATCATTCAACTCAGAAGTCGTTGAATTAAAAATAGTTTGACTATATTGCAAACTAGAATTATTCAAACTTAATTGCTCTGGTGATTCGCTAATCATATTAATTTTCAAGTATTGGTTTAAAGGGATTTGGTTGATTGGTTACAGGGTTTCATCATCAGCTGACATTGGTTAGAAAACCATTGGAAAACCTGGGACTACTGGATAGCTGTTTCGTCCTAGTTTAGGACCCTTCGTCAGTACGCACCCACCACAGGGGTTCGAATCCAGGGCCTCCTAGTTACAAGGCGAGCTCGTAGATCATTAAGCCACTCGGACCCAATCCAATGGTCAGCCCATCAATTCTAACTTCTGCCAATTCATGATATAGCGCGAACGCCAGCCAATGTCTTCGGTGAGTATTTGTCCTCACACCCGACCTGCTGCACCCTACTGGTCATGACTCTCCACTGGAACGCCAGGTAGCTACCTACCTGAATAGGGCCAATCGCCAGTGAGCATCTCATTGATTAATTTTATTATAAATGTCTGAGAAAGCCTTCATGTTTCTAAACTTTATCGTAAAGCAATATATATTTATATTTCCTTAGTGTCGGCTCATCACTTAAGTATGACTCCAGAGACTTTTGTATCATACTGCGCCAAAAGCTGTCAGTTATATCTCGAACTACTGCTGCCATGTAGTTTCAAGACTTTGTCAAAACCTACTCACATCAAGTTCACAATTTGATTCTTGAAGTAACTAGTGCTGAACTACTGCTCACTTTCATTCAGTGAGTAGTGAAAGGGCTAGCCTAATAAGAATACTTGCACCTTGACTTCGTATAAATTTACGAAACCATTAAAAAAGCGTATTTCGCACATTAGAGAAATTCATGTTTGTTTTCTTCGACACTAGAATTCACAGTAAAACCAAATTAACATTGGAAACACTATCGGAGTTTTAAACGCTGTGTTAAAGCTGCAAACTGTAGTCATTTTGTCGTTTTACTTTTTTATGAACAATATCTACAAATAATTAAACAGTCTAGAGCAAACTTAAAAGATGCACATGATCGCTTTTAACATGTGCCAGAATAAGTGGGTGGTGTAAAGTGTAGTCAACTTTGTATCTCATATATATGATGTATAAAAGATACAGCATACCATAGGCACAATTATGACACTATGGAATGTACAAAAATCAATTGTTTCAATGTAAATTACTTTTTATTTACATGAAACAAAAATCTGTAAAATAATTTCACGTCATACGACTAAATGATTTTGTGCATTCGAATTATAGAAAATGAATTTGTTGAAAATTAATGATTTATCGTTGTATATCTTTCAGTCATAAGCTTCACAATCACGTTCAGTCATTATACATTATTTTAAAAAAGCATAGAAATGACACACCTCCCAGCTATGTGGAAACAATTGCGATAGACGACAAGACAGCGATTCAGTACTATAAGGTTTTTCACTGGTCCGGTAACCGATGTCAGTTCATGATAAAATCCTGAAATTAGTTAAATCTCTGCAAACCAAGACAATAAACGAAGGATAAGCTTGATAGTTTTGCCACATCTATGTGTATTTATCAATTCAGCTGCACCTGCGGTGACAATTATGTTGGATGTACTACTAGACGTCTCAGTGAACATCTCCCGTCGTGGTGGCTTGGGAAAGGATAGACAAAAACAATCCGTAGCTCAATTCTGTTACATTTAGTTGATAGTGGTCATGTAGTCGAGAAAACGAGAGCCTTCAAAGTAATTCATGGTATCCCACCGAATCTACCAAATAGACTTCGTATTCGTCTACTGCACACAGCTGAGGCAATAGGCATTCGAACTATTAAACCTAAACTATGCGTTCAAAAAAAGTTTGTACAGCCATTATCTCCATTATCCCTCCCTTGGCTTTTTAAGACATAACCAACTAAAGATTTCTACACCACCCCTTGGTTATATTTTCAATCCCTTTCTTATCATCCCTTAATCTTATCTTCATTAAAAACGTGTCTCATTTACTTTCCTTACAATCAGTCTAGCACTACTTAATCGGTTCATCTGTTTTTACTAGCCTTTATCGACTACTTCCACTTGAACAACTGTTTGTTTAATCATACTGTTTTTCATTATTCGTGTTATCACAGATTGCCTCACTTTTTCATTTTTATTATTGATAAGACCATTATTATTACTACTATTATTATTATCATCACTACTATTATGAATAAGACAATAATCTGTTAAATTTTATACAAAGTGTTTATAAGTAAAGAATGGTTCTTTTTCAAGCAATGTTTTCTCTCAGTGATCTTGATGAAAGCAAGAAGAACCAAATTTTTAGACATAATGAGCAAATTGCTTCAGCAGCTAATAGCCTAAAATGTTTATAGTTTCCATTTAGGGAGAACATACACTTTTATTCAGACCCATTAGAAGGAAATGTGTACAAGGATTGATAAGTTCAATATTCTTGACAGCAGGATAACTTTCTCTGAATGTCGGCTTAATCGTGAATCTTTCTTCATTGAGAAGCCTACGTAGAGGAATAGTTATCCAAAATAATTTATAAATCTCTATGGAATAAATTACAGTACTCAAAAAGATGTCAAATCAGGTCAGTGAAAATTAAATTTTAAATCACTTGATTTCCAAAGGTAATAAAATCCTCCAGTAAATGAATTAGTTGGTAGGATTTGTTCCTGATAGATATTGTTGAGTTACTGGGCTTACTGCTGCGTAAAGCACTGATTGTTGAAAATGAATAAGCAGCTTTCATAAATCGTCTCCGATGGAGTTTGCGATTCAACATGTAAGCATGAAATCATGTAATTATGAAGGAGTTAAAAACAGGCATCCAGCTGATTCGCCAAACCTTTTACTAATGGTCTTAGACACAAAGATTTACAATCCTTTTCACCAGAATTCATTGGCATTTAGCTGATTCACGAGACAAAGTGGTTATATCAACCGTCTATAAAATTATTCATAGGATAAGGAATACATATGTAATTCATTTCGCTGGACTAACTGTTGTTAAATGAACGAAATGTATTATTTACATTAAAATAATTGTCATGCTTTGAAGAAGATTATTCTGTGTATTATGATATATTGAATACATCTTTCTCTTACTCTCTGGTTCAATGGTTTGTGAGCGAACAAATCATCATCAAAATGTGGTGACGCCTCGTTGAGTTATTATGTTTTCAATCAAATCCCTGTAAACAAATACATCAATGAAAAGCTCACCAGCGAATGACCCTATTCAGGTAGGTAGCTACCTGGCGTTCCAGTGGAGAGTCATGACCAGTAGAGTGCAGCAGGTCAGTTGCGAGGACAAATACTCACCGAAGACATTGGCTGGGGTTCACGCTATGTCATGAATTGGCAGAAGTTAGAATTGATGGGCTGACCATTGGATTAGGTCCGAGTGGAGTAATGGTCTACGAGCTCGCCTTGTAACCAGAAGGTACTGGGTTCGAACCCCTGTTGTGGGTGCGTACTGATGAAGAGCCTCAAGCTAGGATGAAACAGTTTTTCAGTACTCGTTGGTGGTTTTCCAATGGTTCTCTAACTGATGTCAGCTCATAATGAAATCCTGTAACAAATCAATCAAATCCATGCAAACCAATATTTGATTATTACGCTTTCAATTAAACTGGAATCAAGAACTCACCATTTCAAACCATAAATCACTGTCAGATAGAATACTGGCCCATGCGTAAACAAATACCGCTTCGCATATTTTATTGGTACCATTAGTTACCAAATAACATCAAATAATGGTCAAATGCACCATCAAGAAACTTAATATATAAGTATTGCATCGTAAAAGAATCACTTCCGTCCTTCATTGAATAAACATCAGGAAATTAGAAAATGTTCTTATTAGATGTTTGTGCTTCACAACAAACTTTGGAGTGAATTTGAAGACACTTTAGTGACGTAGTCTACGTAGTGACGTAGACTTACCATTACTTATATATTTGCATTTCCCTATTACAAAAAATTTAACTTATGATGTGTGGTTAAACAGTAAGCATTGTTTCCAGACGACTCAGCTTCAAAAGGGTACATAAGGCTGTGAAAATAAGAGAAAAATATCATTGGACTGTGATTATATGTCAGTATATAAGTGGAAACTACAATACATGTTGTTCACTGAGAAACTATTTTTTTAAATTACAAAGAGAATGTTAAGATTTAAAAATGGATAGGTATGTTTCAAAACTATGGCAGTTTCCAAACTGTGATCAATTTTTATTTTCTACACTAACTCACACATGGCATTTCCTCACCTATAAAATCCAATTTCTAGTTATGTAAAAGTCTTTTTGATAGGCCTGTGAATATATATGCTATGGAGATCCTCTTCAGAGTTCGATTTTCAGAAAATAGACACCTA